TAAATTTGGGGGTGAAAATATAATGCACAGTTCTGGTGCTTTCTTTGAGGATAAGAAACTTTTAACTTTTATATGTGACTTGGGGTGAGACAAGATGCATTTATCCAAAATGGATGAATCGAAGAGAATATAGAATTTAGCTCAAACAAGAGGCTTCCATACAATGGATGAGCTAGTGATGGAGAACCCGTGAATGTGTTCAGAACTATAACAAATGTTAAGCCGATGATGAAACACATTTAACAAGCAATGTAGAAACAACAGTCTGTCTGTTCAACACATTAGTTTACTGAAGAAAGAGGTTAAAGAGTGAATAATGTTGTGTGTCCAGCATCCTTGATAAGAGGCATGAAGGGAATATTAAAAAAAAAAAAGTCTAGCAACTACCAAGAGGGGGCTAGACAGAGGTAAAGAAATGGGGAAGTAAGATAGGATATGGTTTTAAAGAAGGATGAAAAGGCAGAAAACAGAATATGACTAAGAAAGGAAAAAAAAAATGATTCCACAAAATATGCTTGGTGAGAAATTATTCAACTATGTAAGAAAAATATCATTGTGGGGAAAAAGCAGGTCAAACAGTCCTAAGACAGACTACAAAGAGCCAGAAAATACAATTCTCAAGAATAATGGTATTTAATTCCCGTATGATTACCATACTATCAGTACAAAAGTCAGAAATATTTTCAAGGAAAAAAATTACTAATATTTACATACTAGGCATATTTTAAATTTTTAATATTGCTTATGTTTATATATATAAACAAATGTTTGTATGACTCTCTTATATATTCTTAATAGATTTGTAGTTATATAAATTACATAAATATTAAGTATATTTACAGGTAAACATATATTATTCTGAATAATATCATGCTTTGTGCCAGGCTCTTTACATTCATAAGGATGTTGTTCCAGAAAAAAACACTAAGTTTCAGAGAAATCAAATGACTGACTCAACATTTTATCCCAAGTTAACAATACAGACAGGATTCCCATCAGCCCCAAATCTGTCTGCCATTAAAGCCCAGACTCATTCTCTTACAACAGTTCTTCACTTGACTCAATTCTGGGTACAAATAATTGCTTTTTTCCTTCAATAATGACTTTAAGTCATTGATTAGGTGTTATCTAGTTCTTCCTCCTGACTTCCCTATTCCTTCAGCAGTTCTATCACATTCCTAGTTACTCAGACTTATAAACTCAGCATCAATTTTAGTTCATCATCTTACTCATCCTTGGGTACTAAATAATGTTGATTCTACTTTTAAACAATCTTTAAAATTCATATTTCTATCCTTACTATCTCTCCCCTGGATTACATTTAAATAGCATCTAAGCTGAGTTCCTCTCCACCAAGTCTTTCTACACGAACCTGCCATGTCCTTGGCCACCATATTATTTTCATGAATCAGAGCACTACCCACCATTCCCAGGTTCAAACACTTCATGACTGCTAGATGCTGTTTAATTGAGCACAAACCTCTCATTCTGGTTCCAAGCCCTCCACAACAGTGCCAATTATAACTCCCAGCATTTCTTCTACTATTTTCCCCACAGCCCTAAATTCTAGCCAAACGAGCCCTTTTATCCCTCACTGTTCCAAAAATATACCCTCATGCTTTTCTGCCTCTAAACCTTTGCTTGAGGTTTTCTTTGCTCAGAATTACAACAGTTGACCTTTTTAATTTAAAAAAAAAAAAAAATTCCTATACTTGAAGACCTATGTTAAGTACTGCTTCTTTCTCAAGAACTTTTAACCACAATATTTAATCCTTGCCTCAAAATTTTTGGAAATGATTTTCTGTGTTGCATTATAGATATTTGGTATTTCTCTTAAGCTCTCTACTCAATTGTAAGCTGCCATATATTCCTCATCTTTATGTCTCCTTCAACAGCAAACAGAGTCTAGCAAACGTACAATACTTTATAAGTGTTCGCTAAATTGAACTCAGTGAACTCTTGCCAATAACTAAAACTGAAACTCTTTTAACTGATATATTTCAAAGTGATTAGAAAAGATCTTTTAAAAAACCAGCACCATGTTTACGTGTAATCTTAACTGTTCAAGAGGTTACCCAGGAATGACTTGAAAATATCAACTGAAAGTTTCTCATGCAACCAAACACTTTGCTGTTCTCAAAGACATTTTGCAACACAATTAGTTCACTACTTATTAGAATATCACACCCACAGGAACAATCATTGTTTCAGACCTTTATGCAATAGAAGTCTGAAAAAGAATCATATGCCATAAACAAGTAGACACCAGAAGAAATAGACCACTTGATGTTGTGAGCTTCATCACTTCCAACCAGCTCAGACTAAAATAAGTATGTTTCTTATGATTCACAGTAGAAGAATCTCAATGGACTTAACTTTAGAAGGACATACTGTGTCTAATACAGCTGCTCGGAGGCTGGGCCCAAAGAGCTATCCTTGATCGACCTTTTGGGCCCTGAATCAATAACAGGCCCAGACTTTGTTAGGAATCCTAAACTGCTTTTACTGCATCAAAAGCCCAACAAATACAAAGCTATCTATCTATGCCAAAACACCCATTGCCATCAAGCTGATTCTGACTCATGGCATCCCTGTAAGACAGAGTAGAACTGTCCCCTAGGGTTTCCAAGGAGCGGCTGGTAGGGCTGGTAGATTCAAACTGTCGACCTTTTGGTTAGTAGCTGGATGCTTAACCACTGTACCACCAGAGTTCCTCTATCCATCCATACATGTATAATCTTTTGTGAGTCAATATAATAATACTGTTATATACATATATCAATATATATTGAGCTCTTGCTTGGAACCAGACTCTATTCTAAGCATTTTACATATGTCAAATCTCGCAACAGTTATGAAAGGCAGCACCGTTATTATTCCTCTTTTATAGATGAAGAAATAAAGGCTCAGGATGCTTAAGTAATTGCCCTCAAGTTTATGCAGCTATTAAGTGCTGGGCTGGGATTTGAATCCTGGAAAATCTCCAACAGATCCAATAGTTTTAACCATGCCATGACCTACAATCAGAGCAAGATTTTGCTTTCTTTGAGGAAGTCGAGGAGGTCTCTGGAAGGAAGCTACCCTGTTTCTAGGAGGGACCTATATGGGATTATTTACTAAATAGGTAAAGACCTAGGTGTTTTCATTAATGCACATAAGAATAGACAACTTGCTATGTTCCCATCAAACACCCCAGTAGCTCTGTGGGAGAAAAGACTTGGCAATTTGCTCCTGTAAAGATTACAGCCTAGGACACCTTATGGGGCAGCGCTACTCTGTCACATAGGGTTGTTATGAGTCGGAATCTACTCAACGGCACACAACAACACATAAACCATAGCATCGTCCTCAGCAGAGTTTAAGAGAAAGGAACCGGCTTAGGTTCTTCAGTACCCTTTGCCGTTGAGTCGATTCCAACTCATAGCAACCCTATAGGACAGAGTAGCACTGCCCCACAGAGTTTCCAAGGAGGGCCTGGTGGATTTGCACTGCCAACCTTTTGGTTAGCAGCTGTAGCACTTAACCACTACACCATCAAGGTTTCCAGTTCTTTGGTAGGGGAGTTTTATCCAGTGATAATCATAACCAGTTTCACTCATTGAAGGCTGCGTCTCACCTCTTATTTTTCCAACTGAAATAACAATAAAGCCCTGAAAAAATGTATTAAGAACTCATGATATTGAAGAGGCCTTGCCAGAGGCAGTAAAAGCCAGAGAAGCCAGATAACAGTTGGATTTTGAATGAAATACTAGATGACACGTAGCTTTCATTCCAAAGGACTACCCTTAATAACACTGCAGCTTCTGGGACTAAGTTAAAATAACAAATTGTGGCACTCAATACGTTTAAAGGGTTGAGCCGCAGCCTTCACAGGGTAAACAAACCACATAGAAGCACCTGTGCCCCTCCAAATGATCTATATGACTATTTTCCCCATTGTCAAAACAGTTTGCATATTAAGTATTCTCACTATATGCTCTTGCTTCTCTGGTGCCAAGGAAAAACCTTTTTGTTTTAAACTCATTGTTGATCTCTATGTTAGTGTTGGGTATCTTATTCTTAGCTCCAATGTGGGCAAAATAAGTTGCTATTTTTTTTCCTACAAATTTGCCAAACCGTGGTTGGAATGCATTTACGTTCTCCTTTTACTAACGGAGTTCCTGCACCGTTCACAATGTTCTGACTGAGGCTCTTGGCCTTAAGTAAATGACATGTTTATGTGAAACTGGTAAAGAGGTTAGGGTGTTCCCTATGAAGAAATATTTTGACCCTCTTCAATATGAGAGCCCAAATCATTTCCTTAAAAATGTGCAAGAGAAATGAATTTATTTTCACTCCACCCTTACAAAAATAGCAAGTTTCACAGCAGCTCACAACTTCAGGCAGCTAAAACAATACAAAAGCAATCTCTTCTAAGTGACTGTGTGCCTATTTACTTCTCCCTGGTTACGTTTTTCTGGTTTACACTTCTGTGTCCGAAGTATGAAAGGCAAATCAGAATTCAAAGACATAACCTACCTCTCCTGAATTTGGGAAAATAATACCCCCCACCCCCCGTTTCCTAGGTAAAAATAAAATACAAACTACAATATGCTAATGTTCTGAGTAACGTTCTTGACTGGGGTATGAAAGTTCAGAGAAAGAATTCCATTTGTGAAGAAATTGGAAAATTCCGTCTGTAATAGGGAACTCAAACAGAAGTAAGTGAGATTAATAATTAAGTGAATGAATTCTACCAATATTATCCATTTACCTTTGGACTCTAGGGGGAAAAAAAGTATAATAAATAATTCCCGAATTGACTAGAAAAAGATAAGACCTTTGTCGATTGTCGTAACTTTTTACCTGATCGCTAGCCGAAGAGAAGTCCGTCCCTACCCTTCACTCCCAGGTAACAAGGCAGAAATCTCAGGAATCGAGTGCCTACCGCCATTCCCAGCGGTGCTGGTTTATACCTGCCCGCATGGATCACAAGAAAGGAGACAGTGCCTCCCCCTTACCTCCACAGGTCTTTCCGTCATAGGTCTCGCACACCCACTCGTGGCACTCACAGAGGGGCCCGAAGTACATGCCTGGCTCGGTCACGTGACAGATGCAGACTCCGCAGTCACACCGGCCCCGCCCGTGGCACAGAGCGCTCCCCGGAGACTGCCCGGATGCACGGCAGCGGCGCTCTGACTCTGCCCTGGACAGCCTGCAGGCAGCACCGGACCAGCTTCTGCATGGGGAGACAAATACCATACCCAGGCCATGTTTAAGGCAAGGACTCTGCCCCGTCTGCTCTGAACCCACGGTTCCTCCCCTATTTCCACCCCAAATGGGCACTTTGAACGCCCTGATAGAAAGTCTGAGTCCCCTCATTTCTCTGGGGGCCGAGCTTCCTGTAGAAAGGACTATATTTTCCCAGGCAACAGGCACCACCCACCTGTGTCACCTCAGAAATGACCATGACCCAAAATGTCTATAAGCAAAACTCTGTTGTTAGGTGCCACCAAGTTGATTTCAACTCATGGTGACCCCCAGCGACAGAGTAGAACTACCACATGGGGTTTTCTAGGCCATAATCTTTATGGGATGGAGTCTTGGTGGCACAGTGGTTAAGGGCTCTGCTGGTAAAGGCAAGATCCTTGGAAAGTTCAGTGGTTCAACCTACCAGCCTCTTTGCGGGAGAAAGACGTGGCAGTCTATTTCCATAAAGATTTACAGCCTTGGAAATGCTATGGGCAGTTCTACTTTGTCCTGTAGGTTAACTGTGAGTCAGGACTGACTCCATGGCAATAGATTTGGTTGGGTTTGGTTTGGCTTAATTTTTAGGGGAGCAGGTTGCCAGGTCTTTCTCTCATAGAGCTTCTGGGTGAGTTTGAACCTCCAACCCTTCCGTTTGCAGCTGAGAGCTTAACCATCACGCCACCAGGGCTCCTTGAGCATCTGGAAATAAGACTATCTTTTAAGTGGGCAGAGGTGATCCAAACCTGCCCCTTGGTGATTTGTCACTGAATCATATATGTGCATTTAAATTAAATACAAGTTAATCCAAACGATGACACTTGGCTGACCTATATTTTCAGTTCACTTAAAAAATGTCCCATTGCTACTCGTGGCCGGGGGCCAGTTATATTATGAAAAAGAAGAGATGAATATATAGAAAGACCTATGCAAATTGTGGTAGCATAGGGCATATTTTTGTTCTAATTTTCACTAAGAAATTCTTACAAACTAGAGTTTGAAAAAGTTTAGCTATTGTGAAGTAATTCAAAGTCTCTTTCAAAATGTAATACAGATCCGTTTTGATGCTAGTGGAAAGGAGAAATAATATTGCCTTATGAGTCAGAATCGACTAGACAGCAACGGGTTTGTTTTTTTTTTTTTTGGTTTCTAGTCTATAAGAATTTCAAGTACACATAGAACCACCTTCAACTCATGGCAGTAACTCCTGAAAAAACTATTTGCATAGGAGGAAATTATGTATTCATTTAATCATTATATTCTTCTGAAGAGAAAGTACAAGGACAGAGATTAAACAACACACAGTGTAGATATAAGGAAAGGGATAGGAACAGGTTGAAAACGCTTTATTCGGGGTCCAACTTAGTAACTGCTTTTGGCTTGCAGCAGCCATCCTGCAAGTTTGAGCCCCACCACGCACAGCAACTGTTGGGCACGTCTGTCTTAAAGAATAGCAAACCAAACTTACCTCAGAGATGGCGAGAAGCTTTGAGGAACAGCTGTCAGCCCAGCGAGGAGAAGGGAAGACGCCAGCAGCAAGAAGTTCCTGAAGCCTGGGGGAAGCATGCTGAGCTCTGGGGCTGTGGAGGGCGACCTGTGCGTCTGCAAGGTGGGGCTGAGGAGGGAGGTGGTGGGAGGGAGGGGTGCCACTCGCAGATGGCCAGGCAGACAGACCTACAGACACCCAGGCTTTCAGGTCCAGAGCTGTGCTCGGAGCTGCAAGTGCTTTGATGAGCTGCCTGTGAGGATTTGGGCAGCGGCACGGCTCTGGGCGGGGTGCTGGTGCCAAACCCCTCCAGTGGAGAGTCTAGGCAGGGAAGTAATTAGAAACAGTTGTACAAGCAGATGGTTTGTTTTGACATCAGACAGTATCCTGTTCACAGATTTGAGAAAATCGTTTCTTTCTTCAAGTACAGGCCCCAGAAATATTTGATGAGAGACCGCTTGAGAGAACTGATATCAAAGAGAGCGTTAAATAAACCCGAAGAGGGAAAGCGGAAGGGGACTGCCATGCCCGTCATCGTTAATTCCATGACCCTAGGTAAGGAATTCCTTTCACCACATGCTTCTTAAGAAGATGCGCTATTTGGGATGGGAGCTGTGGGGGGCAAGCAAACCTGGCAAATATAAATTTTTCTATTACTTTTTTTTTTTTCTATTTCCCCCTTGTTTTTAACTATGGGTCTTCCATCTCTTAAGTTTTTAAAAAGTGTTTTGTGGTTCTCGTTGCTCAGGCCAATAGCTTATCACACTGGATTTTTTCTTGACTTGGACAGTTTTAAATTGTAGTTGTCCTAAATTCACCCCACTCTCCCCCGTGTATGAAATACGAAGAAAAGGAGAAGCATTTTCTATCCAAAGAAACTGTTTATAGTGTGAATTGCCCTGAATCAGTGTCACTTTTTAAGCACCTACTATGTGCCAGTCACTTAGAATATTTATCTGTAATTGTGACATAGGGTTGCTGTAAGTCTGAACCAACTCAGCTGCAGTGGGTTTGGTTTTTGGTTTCATTTGTTCATTTAACAACCGTGGGTTGAGCATTTACCTGGTGCCAGGCCTCTGAGTTCAGTTGGCTAGTAAGACACTAATCAAAATAAATACACAAACATAAAAGAATACACTGTTATAAATGCAATAAAAAAGGAGGGCAGTTATTTCCAGAGCAGACAGAGACAACTAATACAATCAAAGTGGTGATATTTGAGCTAATTCTGGAAGATGGATAAAAAAGAATTGGATGGAAAAGGAGAGGAGCAGTGGAAGAAAGTGGGAAGGCATTGTTATTTCATTTTTAAAGACAAAGAAACTGAGATCAGAGAGGTAAACTGACTTGCTTAAGTTCTCACAGGAAGCTGAAGTGGTATTTCAGCTTAAATCCATAGGACCCCGAAGTCCACACAATGTTTCTTACACTGTGTGGTCTTCTGGGAAAAGTGCATAGACCCTTACATGGAAGAGAGGAACACATTTTTCCTTTGTCCTCAGAAAAGCATGTTAGATGCAATGATTCCTCATGAAATAGAACCATCCAAGCTTTGATTGATGAGGGTGTGTGTAGTTCTGAGAGGTCCTGTGGCCTTAAAATCAAAGATGGACTATAACAGGATGGAATTGCTCCCCTCATGTACATGGACAGCTATAAGGGCAAAGACTATCCCTAACATTTGCCAGCTGGGGCAAGAGGGCAGATAAAGGTCCTTTAAACACTGTTGTTGTTGTTAGGTGCCATTGACTCGTTTGACTCATAGCGACCTTTTGGTTAGCAGATGAACTCTTAACCACTACGCCACTAGGGCTCCCCTCTAAATACAGCCCACCCATTTTCTCTTCCTACTCCAGTCTCTATCTGTAATAGGAGGGACTTTGCATAGTGTACATTTGTGTGGCCACTTCAGCCAATACAGCTAAGCCTCTTCCGAGTGGTTGACCCAGGTGTGAACACACTGGTAGGGGGGTCTGCCATCAAGACAACAGACTAGGGACAAGTGCTCACATGTTGGGAGTGGTAATGGAGGATGTCTGAGCAGAGAAATCCAGGGTCCTTAGTACCTAGAGTGTGTTTTAGAAGGAAGACTCTGGGTTGGCAGGGTCCATGGATCCAGTGAACTATCCAATCTGTGGGAAGGGGTGAGGCTGGAAGAGGGCCAGAAAAGGAGTCACTAAACCAGTAGTTCAGCTGCTATTCATAAGGTTTTCACTGGCTAATTTTTTTTTCGGAAGTAGACCGCCAGGTCCTTTTTCCTAGTCTGTCTTATTCTGGAAGCTCAGCTGAAACCTATCCACCATGGATGACCTTGTTGGTATTTGAATATCGGTGGCATAGCTTCCAGCATCACAGCAACATGAAAGCCCACACAGTACGACAAACTGACAGATATAGTGGAGGAAGATGAGCCCCTCAGGTTGGAAGGCACTCAAAAAATGACTGGGGAAGAGCTGCTTCCTCAAAGTACAGTCAACCTTAATGACCTGGATGGAGAAAAGCTTTTGGGACCTTAGTCTGCTGATGTGGCACAACTCAAAATGAGAAGAAACAGCTGCAAACATCCATTAATAATCACAACACAGAATGTACGAAGTATGAATCTAGGAAAATTGGAAATCATCAGAAGTGAAATGTGATGCATGAACATCGATATCCTAGGCATTAGTGAGGTGAAATGGACTGGTATTGGCCATTTTGAATCAGACAATTATGGTCTACTTTGCCTGGAATGACAAATTGAAGAGGATGGCATTTCATTCATCATCGAAAAGAACATTTTAAAGTTTATCCTGAAGTACAGTGCTGTCAGTGATAGGATAATATCCATACACCTACAAGAAAGACCAGTTAATATGATTATTATTTAAATTTATGCACAACCACTAAGGCCAAAGAAGAAGAAAATGAAGATTTTTACCAACTTCTGCAGTCTAAACTTGATCAAACATGCAAACAGGATACATTGATAATTACTGGTGATTGGAATGTGAAAGTCGCAAACAAGAAGGATCGGTAGTTGGAAAATATGGCCTTGGTGATAGAAATGATGCCAGAGATTGCATGATAGAATTTTGCAAGACCAATGACTTTTTCACTGCAAATACCTTTTTTCAACCATATAACTGGCGACTATACACATGGACTTCGCCTGATGGAATACACAAGAATCAAATCGACTATATCTGTGGAAAGAGACAATGGAGAAGCTCAGTATCATCAGTCAGAACAAGGCCAGGGGTCAACTGCAGAAGAGACCATCAATTACTCACATGCAAGCTCAAGTTGAAGCTGAAGAAATTTAGAACAATCCACAAAAGCCAACGTACAAGTTTGAGTATATCCCACCTGAATTTAGAGACCATCTATCTCAAGAATAGATTTGATGTGTTGAACACTAATGACCGAAGACCAGACAAGTTGTGGACTGACATCAACGACATCATACATGAAGAAAGCAAGAGGTCATTAAAAAGATGGGAAAGAAAGAAAATACCAAAATGGATGTCAGAAGAGTCTCTGAAACTTGCTCTTGAACATCTAGTAGCTAAAGGAAACAAGTAATGATGAAGGAAAAGAGCTGAATAGATTTCAAAGGACTGCTGGAGAAGACAAACTAAAGTATTATAATGACATGTGCAAAGACCTAGATTTAGAAAACCAAAAGGAAATAACACGCTCAGCATTTCTCAATTTGAAAGAACTGAAGAAAAAATTCAAACCTCAAGTTGAAATATTAAAGGATTCTATGGAAAAAATACTGAACAATGCAGGAAGCATCAAAAGAAGATGGAAAGAATACACAGATTCACTGTACCAAAACGAATTGGCCAACATTCAGCCATTTCAGGAGGTAGGATATGATCAAGAACGGAAGGTACTGAAGCAAGAGGTCCAAGCTGCACTGAAGGCACTGGCGAAAAACAAGGCTCCAGGAATTGACGGAATACCAATTAATTGAGTTGTTTCAACAAACAGATGCGGCACTGGAAGTGCTCACTCATCTATGCCAAGAAATTTGGAAGACAGCTACCTGCTCAATCAACTGGAAGCAGTCCATATTTATACCTATTCCAAAGAAAGGTGATCCAACAAAATGCGGAAATTATCAAACAATATCATTAATATCTCACGCAAGTAAAATTTTGCTGAAGATCATTCAAAAGCAGTTGCAGCAATGCATAGACAGGGAACCACCAGAAATTCAAACCGGATTCAGAAGAGGACTTGGAACGAGGGATATCATTACTGATGTCAGATGAATCATGGCTGAAAGCAAAGGATAACAGAAAGATGCTTACCTGTGTTTTATTGACTATGAAAAGACACTCAACTGTGTGGATCATAACAAATTATGGATAATGTGTTGAAGAATGGGAATTCCAGAACACTTAATTGTGCTCGTGAGGAATCTGTACATAGACCAAGAGACAGTTGTTTGGACAGAACAAGGGAATACTGCGTGGTTTAAAGTTAGAAAAAGTGTGTGTCAGAGTTGTACCCTTTCACATACTTATTCAACCTGTATGCTGAGCAAATAATCCGAGCAGCTGGACTATATGAATGTCTCACTTATTTTGGACATGTTATCAGGAGGGACCAATCCCTGGAGAAGGACATCATGCTTAGTAAAGTAGAGGGTCAGTGAAAAAGACGAAGACCCTCAACAAGATAGATTGACACAGTGGCTGCAACAGTGGGCTCAAGCGTAACGATTGTGAGTATGGCGCAGGAATGGGTAGTGGTTCGTTCTGTTGTGCATACAGTCACTATGGGTCAGAACTGACTTGAGGGCACCTAACAACAATAAACCAGTAGTTCTCAAAGTGTGTTCCCTGAACCAGCAGCATCAGGATCATCTGGGAGCTTGTTAGAAACACAAGTTTTCAGGCCCCTACCCCAGACCTACTGAATCATAGTGTGCATTTTAACAAGATTGCAAATGATCTACTTGCACATCATAGTTTGAGAAGCCCAACAAGGCCCAAGGCTGGGACCATGGATGCCTGGATCTGAAGATAGTGCTTACGCTCACTCCTAATACAGCTTCTCGCACTGTATTCCTTCCTACCTCTCCTCCCAACGTCTAGACACCTTGCTGACTCAGATAACATGGGAATAGTGCAAGGGAAGAATCAGTGTTATATCATTTACAATGAAAACGTGAGAATTTTAATAAATGAAATGTATTACTTTTTGCACATTTTCTGAGGGAAAAAAAGAACCATTGTGAAATAGGGACCTAAATGTTTGAAAAAAATTTGGTGGATTGAAAATATTTTTTAACCTCTGAAACTATTGCCCTGAGATAATCTTTAAAC